AGGAATGCCTTAACATTTAGATTTTAATTTTAAATTTACTTTTAAATTTCCACTCCCAAAATCATGGGAGGTCTTCCTTGTTCTTTGCATTAGAGCAAGCCTCATCATGTAGCAATGCTAATACAGTGAACTGATTGAGAAATCTGAGCCTTTATTGCTGTCAGTATAGGTGATTTTGGCATCTATCATCTCATCTTCAAATGTTTTATTTACAGACTAAAAGCAGGCTACGTGGTAGTGTTTTTTTTTATTATTTATTTTATTTTATCCAAGACTCTGCTGCTCTGGGGCCTCCCCTACATATGAATTGTGAGCTCTAAGTGTCCTTTTTGCCCTTCCGGAGGACACTTATTTGTGTTGTTATTCAATATGATAGGAGACAGCTCAGCAGGTTAAAAATCTCTTATTAATATTTGGATTGCAACACAAAACACCTGGATGTGGCAGATGGTCACTGTTACAGATTTAATTGAAGAAAACTAAATAAAAGAAGTTTCATACAGTATTATATGTTGAATACTGAATTTCTTAAGGGGGGGGAAAAAAGCAAAATACAGAAATGAATTGAGTTCTTTGCAAGCAAGAGTATCCTTGACATTTTTGGCTGGTTTATGGATAGAAATAGACCCCACAATATTCATATTCTTGAGGTTTTCCTGTAGGCTGTTTGAAAGTAGGATCTAATTCTGCACCTTTGTTGCTGGGTGTCTCTGAAAAGTGCCACCTCTGTCCTTGCTCTTCATGTGTGATGACGCTTATTACAGTTCTCTTTCGGGTTTGTTTCAGTTTTTATTTTATCTCCTTTTCTTTTTTCTTTCTCCTTTCATAACAGACCAATGGTTATGAGGAAGACGTGTATGGATCATCCCAGAGTAGAAAATCTAGCAGGGTTAGTAGATGATTTATATTCATGTAAGAATTATTGCGCTCTCTAATGCCTTTAAAGCTAATTAGCAAATTCTTTTGTGTGGTAAAGCAGGTTTTTCCTGTCCTGCACGTCACAGGCTTTGCAGCTTGTTGTACACAGAGGTGCAGCAATAATCTGTTCAAAAGAAAAAGGCCCTGAGTGAGAAAAGGAGCCTGTGAATTTGACACAAGTAAAACTCGCAAGGCAGAATCCCTTAACCTTGCTGTCAGAATTGCTAAATTGTGGTGAGAAATCCCTGGATGGAAGCCAGCTTGGGGGATTTCCATGTGTTCCCGGCAACACGGCTGTGGTTTGCTGGGCTGTGCAACATTTATTCAAGTAGCCCATGTCCTCGCACATAATTAGTCTATGTCTTCAGATCTGCGCGTGTAGAGGGTGTTTTTGCGCTTGAATTTTCCCCTTTGCCTCTTTCAAGTTTGCATAATTATATATATTTGCCTTTATAAATCATATCCTAGAGCTGCTGGAAATTCCCACAGAGCTGAACAGCCTGTGAAAGCGCTACCATCACACTGTGCTTTAGTACCGTTGATTTACTTCATTTCTAGAAATACTTCTCAAAAGACCTTCTTTACTCAGTGCAGCGTGTGTGTGGGTCGCAATGAGCCCTTCCCTTCCAGCACAAGGGATCTTCAGCATCTGCAGGAGCTGCCTCCGTTCCTTAAATACTGCCCTTTTGTGCAGTTTATTTAAATGCATTTCCTTTCAGGAAAAGTGTCTTCCTTTCTCTCCTCTTGCCTTTACCTTCACAAAGGCAGACAAAAAACTTGGAGCTTGTTGATCCTTATGCTACCAGGACACCTAAAGAAACTTAATGATGTGCAGACTAAAGCTCTCAGTTTAGGAGGAAAAAATAGCTATTCTAGGATTGCCTTTGGGTAAGTGTTTGAGCACTACATGTTAACCATACGATAGGCTTCAGTGCGGTTCCTTCATCAGCGAGTAGCTGAACGGGTGCTTGCAGAAGTGAGACCTGATATTTTATGGGTTTTATTATTATTAATGGAATTTGGGTCTGGTTTCTAGTAGTCATTGGTAAATGTTGGCTAGGAACTAGGACAGATGTAAAATCAGTCTACGGATCCAGTTAGGAATACAGAGTTGGGTAACAAGCTGCAGTAAGAAACCTTGTTGTATGGTGCAGCACCAGGCTGGTTCAACGGGGAGGCTTAAATGGCTTCACATAACTAGAGTTAGGGTGAAACTTCGGTGCACAAACCAAATAGGCACCTTTTAAACCTGGTCTGTTGTCTTCTAAGTCCTGTACAAGAAGTGTCATCGTAGCTTAGTTTCTCGTTGGGTTGTAACAGTAAGAGGGAGGAGAGCCCTTGGGGACTTGAGGCCCTTTCATTGGAAAAGAAATCAAATGAGTATCTGGTGCATAGGATGCTGTAGGTATAAAGGAAAGTCCTTTCCCTTGTTTAAAAAGATGCAACTTTACAAATAGAAATGTCACACAATTTTTCACACATATCTTTAAGCTAGTTTCCCTATTGCAGTTACTTTACCTCTTTTGGATCTCACTGTTTGTAAGCACCTATTTAACATTTTGTTTTCCATTTAAATGAATTAAGAAACTTCTTTATGTTACAAAGCCAAGTTCTCAAGGTTTCTTTCCTTCGTAGGCTTCGTACTACTCTGATCTCGGTCCTCACAACAGTGGATATTCTTCCATGTCCCAGCCTTCTTCCCACAATGGAAACTGGGTCTGTTGCCCTCTGGTTTTGCCTGGCCTGGACTGCTTGCTCTGCCTCCGTTGGGATAAATCAACCTGCTGTGTTTTGGGAATAAATAATTTGGACCAGTTGTTGAGAGTCTCTGTAGCTCTCTAGCTGAACTTGAGAGGGGAAAAAATGAAAGGAAAGTCCCACCTTGTTGATAATGGTTGGAGTGAGCCATGGAAAGCTGCTTCAAAAAGGGCACAAGTAGTTTCCCTTTGCTGCTCCTCCCTTTCCTACAGTTACTTTATTTGCTGTTCCCAAGTTGCTCTGGGAAAACGTGCAAAATGCCCATTAACCAAAGCTCTTGGTTTGGTCTCAAGACCCTCCTTGCGAGGTCTCTGCTCACCTCGTCGCTCCAGCGAGGTTGAGGCCACCCCACACGGTATCGCGAGTGAGCAGCTCCTGCCAGAAGGACGGCAGCAGCTTCCCGAGGGCTCCCGGGCCCATGGGGCTGCTTGGTTTACGGTATCCTAACTCCGTCCTGAATGATTTGGTGTTTGTACCTACTAAAATGCATTCCTACAGCTGTGTGGTGCACTAAAAACACCTTAAAACCATGGTGTCTTTGGCTTGCATAGCCCCATAGCGATTTTTTCGGCCACGGCTGAAGTGAGGAGAAGCAGCCCTGCTGGCTGCCTGCTTGACACAATAACACCATTAACAACCTAAAATTAAATGGTGTTGTTTTGCTTCTGGGTACTGTGGGGTCCTCCCTTCCTGTAGGAAACACGCATGTGTCTGCTTTCTACTCTTGGTCTGCCAAGCTGAGATCTGCTGCTTTTAGGGCACAGATGACTAATATTATCTGTACTGCATTTCCTCCTCTTCTAGCTTAACGATCCCCGTGAGTCCTTACCAAGATGGTTACCTCTGCCCTAGGCACCTTTTGTTGTATTTCCTTTTTTTTTGCCCTCAAACAAGAAGGTTTTGTGCTTGTCTTCCTCAGCCCTCCTTGCTGTACAGCGATGCTCTACCTGCCAGAAGTTACAGGGTTCGTCCTCCCAAGGCCCCGGCCACAAGCCCCGACGCTGCTTTCGGTCCCTGTGTCTCACGCCTGGTTCCCGCGTCTTGCTCTGGTGTCCCCTCACTGTCCGACCCCTCTGCATGCCTGTGTGATGCTCACGTTTTGCTGAACCCTTTACCCCCGTGAGGCTGTGATGCTGCCGGGGACAGGTGCCTTGCTCAGGGTGCCGTGCAGAACCGGCGAGAGCAGCGGAGAGGAGGGATTAACCTGGGTTTTGCACGAGCTTCCCCGAGCATTCCAGCTCCCCGCCCTTGGTGCGTGTTGGAGGCTTGCACGCTGCTCGCGCTTGTCCCAGGCGCGTCCCCGCGTGCGTCCGTGTCCTCCCTTGGCACGGCAGCTCATGACACAGGCCTCCACCTGCACACTCTGAGCCTGCTCCTCCACCGCGGGCGGCCACGCGCGAGGAGCCGGCAGGGTAGCGCCTCGAGCGCCCGGACTGTGAGGCATCCTCTGCCTTCCCCCTTGTCCTGTCCCTTGGCTCTGTGTTCTATGGGGAGAGAATTGCTTTGAGTTTGTCACCGATCAGGAAGGATGGCCTTGGGGCTATTAATGAATATAAATTCTTACTGCGTGCGTGTGTGTATCTGCGTGGAAAGATGGACCAAAACCTTTTGATTTTTTACCTGAGCTCTCTGGAAGTCCTGCTTGTTCTCTTGCTGAACTCTTCTCTGGTTATTTAAAAAAGCCGAATACCAAAACCTGGAGAACAACAGAAGAAAACCCTCCAGGCAGAGCATGGTTGCCAATTTAACCTTAAAAGCTGTAATCCTCCGAGCTTGGAGGAAGAAGCTTTAATGAAAGTTTGCAAAGCTCCTGCTCCCGTGCTCCTCTGGAGGAGGCCCTGCCATCCTCTTGCAATTTAATTGATTTATTATTTGTGCTGCTTATTGCTACCGATCCCCTGCTGCAGATTACGCGAAGTTTCCCAAACTTGCCTTGCTTTCATTTGGGAAACAATGATGAGCAGTTGTTCAGATGCACAAAGCCAATGTCACTTGATGTAAGACATATAAAGACATGGCTTGAGAGTGCTTTGGTTCCCCTTTAGTGCTGTTATGTACTGTGAGTATAATGGCTATATTTGTACAGACCTTCAAAAAAAAAAAAAGATATCTCAAAAGCAAGGGTTTTTTTTTTTTTTTTATTTCAACACATTAATAATTCCAAAACAGTTGTAAGTGCCCCTAAAAGAAACTCCCAAGGGCTGTGGATGGCTTGGTCACAGTTTTCCAAAATATACATCTTGACAAATAGGTAGGGAATAGCTCCTAAAATCATTAAACCAGAAAGGTGGTGGCCTCCTTTCTTTTGTACCAGCAAAGAGCAAAATAAGCGTGACAGTCAAAATAACCTCTGCGCAAAGGTTGCGTTTGCAACTTCCTTGCCGTGGCGGTAACGGGAAGAAATCATGTCGCAGTAAATGTCAGGTGACTGTTAACCCATGTGTGTGCTGAATGTATTGAAAAAACTTCCCTTCCACATCTGTGCTTAGGTATTTACCTATACAGCACACTTCATGCAACAGTGAGAGTAAAGCTGCCCTTCTGAAAGCTGTGGGAAAACAGGAGTAGTTCCAAAATGTGTGTGCAAGAAACGTTTTAGTTGTGTTTCACAGATGCTGAAAGCTTTTCGTTTCCGTTCCCTACTGCTTATTTCCAAAGGTTATAAAGACACATTCTCTGCCAGCAACAAGTCAACCCTGTGCCTGCTGCATCACCACTGGATATTTGCTTTTAAGGACTAATTCTTCCTTTGGCAGGAGATGAGGGCAGCAGGTGCTGTCCTAGGGATGGAATCCAACCTTTGCTTGGTCTGTCCCCTGGAATTACTGCTTGTCTCCATTTTCAGATTAATGCTTCAGATACCTGTTCTCTCACTGTAACTGTTCTTCCTTTTTCCGGTTGCATGTAACTGTTTTTGCGACTAACTCCCAGCGCGATGCTGCGATTCCTCTGCTGCTTCCCCTTCCCTTTCTAATCCTGTTCTCTTCTCTCTGCTCGCTGCTCTCGGGAATCTGCGGCAGCCTTCGGAGTACAGCTGCTACCTTGGTTCAGGATCCCGGGCGTCTTCGAGAGCCAGCTCTGCCCGAGCCAGTCCAGTGGTGAGCTCCTCTACTTTCTTTTTTCCTTGAGCTGTTTCATTCCTGTTCTTCAATGTCTTTTTGTGTGCAAGGCTCCTGTCCCTGGGGAGGCAGATGGCTCTGGTCTTAGTTGGGCTTGCAGGGCAATGCTTAAAGAAGGGGGGAGCTAGATGAGAAATTACAAAACCAGGAATAAAAAAAGCATTGCCACATGAACGTAAAGCAAGTCACTTTGTCATTTCTGCAGAAATGACAGGCTCAAGGCATGTTGGAGGGGTGTTGTGGAAAAACATTGGTGGTGTTGATACTAGTGCTGCATCTGCTGTGGTGGTTAATACCAGAAAACTCTGGATCTTATTGTGGTTATCACTAAGTTTAGTTTCTCTGCCTTCAGAAGCAGTTTGTTGCGGTGTTGCTGCAAGTTTCCAAAACTGGCCGTAGTTTGTATTGCAAAGGACTTGTATTCCATGGGGTTTGTTGGATTGCAGATAACCAGGCAGTGTGGAATGACTGGAAGCAATGAGGAGAACAGTACTGTAAACGAGCGCATGTAAAATGCTTCTCCAGTCATAACATCCCATTGCCTTGGCTGCTAGCTAAGGAGCTGGAGCTGAAAAGCTACAAATGTTGCCTTAAGGAGCAATTAAAACAACTGTGTGGATGTTCAAGAAGCCACTGCAGCGTGCAACAGGGTGAGCTGCAAGGTGCATTTTTGGAGTGCTCCTTGCAATAAATACACTTAGTCCACAGCAGTGGCTTCCCTTACACCTGCCCTCACGTGTCAGTGTCCCTGTAGGACAGGGTGCGTCTGCTTTTTAAGTGACTCTTCAGGAGTTTCATCACATGCTGCGTGGCAGCTCGCGGGCTGGAAATAAGTCAGTGTTTCTCATTAGTCCCTACGAGTTCTTGCAGCGTGTGCCTGTTATTAGCAATTCTGGGCTTAAACTGTGTGGCAGTTATTCCCACAGCATAAACCACAGAGAATAAGCAGGAAATCTAAGGCTTTTGACACCGTCCCTCACAACATCCTCCTGGGCAAGCTCTGGAAGTGTGGGATAGATGAGTGCACAGTGAGGTGGATTAGGAACTGGCTGGATGGCAGGGCCCAGAGAGTGGTGATCAGCGGTGCAGAGTCTAGTTGGAGGCCTGTAGCTAGCGGGGTCCCCCAGGGGTCAGTCCTTGATCCAGTCCTGTTCAATTTGTTCATCAATGACGTGGATGAAGCCACAGAGTGCTCCCTCAGCAAGTTTGCTGATGACACGAAACTGGGAGGAGTAGCTGATAGCCCAGAGGGCTGCGCTGCCCTCCAGAGGGACCTGGACAGACTGGACAACTGGGCGGTGAAAAACCTCATGCAATTCA